TGCTGTTACTTTTCCTTAGTGTAGTCAGGAGTGTTGTCTATTGCTGTTAGTGCAGAAAGTTGATTTCTTTTTTCACCAGTTTTGTGTTTAAGTGATTGTCGGAGAGAGTGTGTTGTTCTTTTGATGATATTGTTTTTTTATTTATTTGTATTGTGCATTTTTTATTTGTATTGTGCATTTTTATTTGTATAATTTTTTTTGAAGCATTAAAGCATTTTTTCTAATATAGCTAAATTTTATTCTAAAAAATTTTTATAAAGTTTTTGATTATTTATATAAAAGTTTGCTTTTTTATACAAATCACTTTAACAATATAATTAATATTATTGCTTGAGTTATATAATTTTTCACTTGGGCTTTTAATTTAAAATTTTAAAAATTTCACTAATTAGGTTATTTCAAAATTCAAGAATGCTTAGGTTAATTCAAAATTAATCTAAATTATAAAATAACTTGAAACATAAATATCTCTGGCATAGGGCTAAAATGATATATAGTAAATGCCAGCCATTTATATATATAATATAAGTACTGCATTAATAAAAAATATATTATATGCAGTTAGTTAAGTAAATGACCACTATATACTATATGTCATTTTAGCCTTGCTCTGACATCAGAATACCTTTTTATTATGCTTTTATGCATTAATTATAATTTAAGCTACTTTTTATAAGCATTATTAGGATGGCTAAGAGCTAAGTGCGAATATACTTGCCTTTTTAAGCTATTGTTAAATTATCTTATTAGTATCTCTCTTTATGATTATATTATTATTCTAGTCAAATTTGGTTATATTAGCATTTTATCATACTATATATCCAAAACTAGCAATTTATTAAATTACTAATTTATTTTCTTATAAATATCTTGATCTAAACATTACTTGTGCAAAAATTTCTATTAACATTAGGCTTGTTTTCATTATTCATATAATTATCAATATGCCAGTATTAGAGATCAGTCTTAAATTATTTTTCTATAATTTATGATATATTATTAATAAGTAATATATTAATAACTTACCAAATATAAATAACTTATTATGTATTATTAAATATAAATACATATGTATATATGCATTAATTTTTTATTATTATCTAAAGTATTCATTAATATGCCACCCAAACAATATAATCTTGCAAAATACTTTAAAAAAACAAAAGAAAAAGCTAATAAATCCAATGTTTTTTCTATTTGCAAGTTTTGTATTAAAGGTTTTGGTTATAATGTTGCTGTAGTGCAATTAAAAATTACTCATAAAAGCTGTAACTGTAAAAATTATTTTAAATCATATTAATTTTTTCTTACTGAATATTCTTATAAAGAACAACAAGAAATTTTGAATCCACCAGATGAAACAATTAAAAGTTCTTCAACAAGTATGAAAAAAAGAAGATTAAATTTATTTAATAAAACTGTAGATGGTTATTTTAAACCTAATTTTTAAGAAAACCATTTAGAACAATATAAAAGCTTACTAATTCAGGCTATAGCATCTTGTGGGTAGTCTTTTTGATAAATTAAAGATCTAGAAGTACAAAAACTTATATGATTTTTAAATCCATCAGCTATTTTTTCTAGTCAATTAAATCTTTCAAATTATATTTTAAATCAGAAATTAGAAATAGTTTTAAAAAATATTATTTAGTTTGTGACACAAATAATCTTGGTGTTACCTTATTATATAATAGTAGGAAGAATGTAGCTTCACAAAATATTATTAGAAATATATTAATTATTGCAGAAGGATTAGCATTAGCATAAAATATTGAAAATTTAAATAATAAATGAAAAAACTGGCAAACTATAGTATTAATGACAAAAAATATATTTAATTCAATTAAAGCCAATAATATTTTAGTAAATGCTGAATATATGGCTACAAGGTAATATAATAAATTTAAATAAAATTTATAATAATAATATATAGATATATATTTATTTATTCTTATTTTTTTTATTTTATTAATTTTTTTTAGAAAAAGACTTCATAAAGAATTTCAAAATAAAGTTTTTTTACCATGTTTTAGTTACCAAATGAATTTATACATAAGTAATATTTTTAAAAAAAATAGTAATTTAAAAATTATTACTAAAGAAGCAATCAATATGGTTACTTATTTTCACAAATCAGATTTTTTTTATCTAATTAAAAGATGAACAAGCAGCTATATATAAAGAAAAATATATTGCTTTAATAACTCCTAATGATACACATTGGAATAGTCACTTTTACTGTTTTTCAAATATTTTAAAATCTAAAGTGGCTTTAAAAGTTAGTATATTATTTTTATATATAAATTTTTTATTATTTTTTAATTAATATTATTAAGGTATAATTTTAAAAATATGTACTTATAGAGGCTTTACTTTATTATTATTTATATTTATATTTATATTTAATAAAAAAATTTATTTATTTTTTTTATTTAAAATTTGATGACAAAAATTAAAGATGGTAATAATAGTTCTCTTTATGGTTTTCCTACTAATATTTAAAAAAATCTTTTAAGTCCTAATTGGTGAAAAAAGATACAAGAGTTGTATAATTTAGTTGAACCTTATTGGCAGCTTTAAATAAATTGCAAACTGATGATGCACAGTTGTACAAAGTTCTTTATGCATTCTGATGGATTGTAAAGTTTTTAAAATCTAATAATAAACTTACTTTATAAAATTATTATATTCAAAAAATTGAGAAACAGTAGGCTAAATGGGAACAACCTCTTTTATTTCTTTCTTTTTACTTCATCTAAAGTATAAAGATAAAAAATTTAATTTTACACTTTCAAATATTTTATATGCTTATTTAGGAAGATAGATTTGTTACTGTTATACTAATTGGGTTAATAAACACTTTTAGTTATTCTTGCAGAATTAGAGCAGCATTGTGCAGAAAAAAATCCTTTTGATCAAAAAACATATAATCAATTTAATAATTCTTTAAAATTTTGAAATTATGTTGCAGGTTATACAAAAGAACTGCATCTTGTAGCTTTAAATTTTTTTTCAATTTCAGTTGCTAGTGCTTCAGTAGAACAGTTATTTTTTAAGATAAGTTGGATTTATACTGCTAAATAAAACTGATTAATGGTAATTTATAATTAAAAATAAGTTCAGTTGGTTAGTTTTAGCTTGGCCAATTGAATCTATTTCTATTTATAATATTTGATTTTATATTATTATTTAATATAACTAAACTATTGATTTTAATTTTAGTCTAATAAAGTTTTAAAATTATGTCAATTAAGAGATAAATTATTATGTAATCATTTATATGAAGCTTTAACCAAACAAGAAAAAAAAATTTATAAAACAAATATTACAATGCAAGCACAAAACACAAACTTAGAAATTTCTGATAATGAAAGTATTAATTTATTAAGTGAAAAGATATTTATAAAGATACTTATAATAATATTTATGTTGAAGATAGTTATACTGAAGAAACCAATATTGAAAATACCAACATTAAAGATATCCATTTTGAAAATTCTCATATTGAAGATACTCATGTCAAAAATACTTATATTGAAGATGTTTATATTGATGAATTAAATAAGACAAATAGTGAAGAAATTCAAAATATTGATAATTGGTGCTATTTAGTATCTAAGTAAATAAAACTAACAGATGAAGGTAAAATTAATGAATTAGTTAATAATGATCTATTAAATGATAATAATGCAAATTTAGATTCTTTTGAAGTTTTTAGTACAATGCATTCTGCTAAAAATCATAAAGCAAATGAAAATTATTAGATTTGGTTACAGATTTACTTGAACAATTCACTTACTTAAATTTGTCAATTGAATAAAAAAGTATATTATAAAATTTAAAGATCTTTTTTATTTTATATATGGTAGTTTATCTTTTATTTATTTTTTTTCTCAATATGTAAATTTTTTTCTTTGATATTTATTTTAAAATAATATTATTTGTAAAAACTTATCTTATTCAATAAATAGTTTTATTTTTTATTTGCTATTTTATAAATAAATTGTTTTGTATTGTATTGTTAATAGAAATATGAATAATATATATTTTATAATAATATATATATAAATATGCATTAATGTATATAATATATAAAATGTGCATATTATAAGGTGTATATATTATTTTACTAACAATTAATTTATCAACATCTTATTTTGCTGACAACTAATACACTAACAAGTTTTATTTTACTGACTAAATTTTTTAAAAGTTGCTCTAAGTTGCACTAACATTAACTTTAATGCTAACTGATCCTAACAAAAATAATCTGAATTACTTTGTCAGTAAAGTGACTGTTAGTAAAATAACTGTTAGTAAAATAAACTTGTTGGTAAATTGACTGTTAGTAATATAAACTGTTATTAAAGTGATTGTTAGCAAAATGAGCATTATCTATTATAAGTTAAAATTTTTTTTATATATAACTGCTAATTTTTGCACTATTTTATTTATAATAGTTATAAGTATTAATATAAGAAAACTTGCAAATATTATCTAGTAACATTTACTAGCTTCTTTTATATTACTTATATTAGTATAAGTTAATTTAATATTATCTATTTAGTAATATATTTCAAGTTTGATAGTTTTAATATATACTAAATTTTAAACTACAAATAGTTTAAAATTTGTTATAATAAAGTTTAAAATATATTATCATAATTTTTAAATTATAGTAATTATTATTTATATAAAAATCTGTTAATTGTTAATTATATTAAAAAATTTAAATTATATTATTAAACATGTTCAATTAGTCCTAGGCTTCAAGACCAATTAGATATATGGCCAATTAATAAATTGGACATTTAGACAACAATTAAGATTAAATAGCTATTTTTTAATTAGCTATATGTTTAATTAACCACAAAGGCTAGAGCTAATTTCTGCTACTCCATTAAATAATAAATTAGTCAAATGAACTTAACCAGATCTTAATTTTTCTATTTTTGCAAAAGACCAAAAACATCATGCTACTTTTCAAATATTACACCTTTATCTTTGCTTTACAAACTTGCTAATGAAGCAGAAACTTACTTCTCTAACAATATAATACTGTTAAAAACCCTAAACATCATAGTTTCTATTTCTATTCCTATTTTTGTGCCTTTCTCAGAGCTGCTGTTGAGAATAATGAAATCAATAATTTTAATAAACATCAGACCATTAATAAAATTACAACAAAACCAGTTAATACACATTTTCTTGCCCAAGTGATTTCTTATTTCTATATTCTCAAACAACCAATGATTTCTATACCAAAAATTCTTGAAATATACAAAACTACAATCTATTTACAAGCCCAAAAAATCCTCTAAGAAAAATTTAAAATCAAATTCCAATCCTTTAAAAAGTTTAAAGATGATCTTTTCTTTAATTCAAAATCTAGCAAAGATAATAACAAAGTTAAAGAAAAATTATCTTATACAGAAACTCTCCAACAAGAAACTACTACTATCCATTCTCACAATCCTTTTTAATTAAATTTCCATAGAACACATAAATGCAACCACTGCTTCTAAAATTATAATGTCCTTCATTGAACTTGGGCTATTTTCAGAAGAAAATGATATAAGTGGATGAGTGGTTAAGTCCATTTACACAGAGAACCAAGTTAATAATAGCCAGATTCAACATACAGAGCAGGCTATGGTATTCTTCACAGCTGTGAGAGCCGAGCATACAGTGAGTGAATCTACAGAAAAATTTTCTACTTCCTTGAATACCATTTCATCATCAAACATCAAGGAAGCATCACAAGAACCAATTCACAAGACATTATATGATCCAGACTCATGCTATAACCAATGGCTAGCATGTCTAAATTTATCCCTACTCCTATATCTACAAACACTTTATTCATTTTTAAAACATATTCATTAATACAACTTTATACAATATAATAATTTCAACTATGCACTAAGATTAGCTATAGTGAATGCTATATATACCCATTACATATATCTAAACCTTTACCTGATTACTTCTTTCTATATCTATTAGATTATACCTACTATCTATCTATATCTATACCTTCTAAATTCTCTTTAATAAACAATAATATATTAGACACTAACTCAATCATAAAGGATAATGAATTAGACAACACTTATCCTCAATTATTAAAAACTATCTTAGATGGCTATGATGAAACTACTATAGCTAATTGATACTACAACAACATTCAATTCAATATCTGCTATAACAAATTATTATTCTATAACCACATATCACTACTCTCTTACCCTCAAACTATTATTACTTTTTTATAACATATTCATAGCTTTGGCTATTCATCTAATAACTTATATGGCTATACATTAACTATCTCTATCAAAAATAATCATAACGAAGCTCATGTTTATCTTCCATCTGAACTCAAACCCTTACCTAATCATTTCATCTTACCAGTCCAAGCCATTTGGCACTATCCAAATATCTAACTAAAATCAAATATACCAATATCAGTCTTTTTTATATCAGCATCCTTAGACCACTAGTTCTTCTCTACCTCTCACCTATTTCAAGGACCAGAGCCCACAAACTATCACAATTTATTTTTATTTCCTTCTAACAACTTAATACAAACAAACTTCAAATTACTAGACTTACTAATCTGTACACATAATATACAAGGCTACAATAAAGATTTAAAACAACAAATCTGGAAAAACTTCTGTCTCTCTAACAACATCAAAATCATTAGTATTACAAAAACTAAAATCACTACAAATAACTTTATAACTAAATTACAAAAATTCAAACATTTTACTTATCTCTAATCCTATACTAATAATCCAAAAGCTGGCATAGCTATTATGATTTATAAGTCTATTAAATGCCACATTGACAAAATCCTACTCTTTTCTAGATATACTATCACAATAGACCTTTTCTTCAAATATAATTTCAAGTTTAGAATTATTTCAATTAATTTATCATGTGATAACTCTCAACTTAGACTATAATAGATTCAATAAGCTATTACTCTAAACATACAACCCATTATCCTAGGTGACTTTAATGCATCTGATTATCTTACTCAATTTTTTTCAATTAAATGCAAACTACTTTACTTTCTTCAATATAATAATTTATATAACTTAGCTAGTCATATACAATCCTCTACACCTACTTGGCAAAGCAGCAGATATAGTAGTAGCATTGACTATATCTGGGCTAACCAAGTTTTTCTTTGTTATCTTAACTTCTTTACTGTTGAAGATTCTGATACTAGTACTCAAAGTGACCACAAAATTCTTATTTTCAATTGGTCTTTTTCCTATGTATACTCAGGCAAACCCCATTATTTAACCAAAATTTGACAAAGAACAAACATTCTTATACAAAAACATAAACAATGAACAATGGCAACTTTTTTCAGATTAAGTAACATTAAACTTAACCAATAATCAAACACCACTCAATATACAAACTTTAGAATCTTTAGAATCTACATGGCACAAAATTCAAAACAGTAGTATTACTGCAGCTCTTTAACACATTCCTAACAAAAAATTTACAGTCAGAAATTTTCAACATATTTTCTCTACTAAGGTTTTAAAATTATACCATTACCTTAAAAAACATTTCAATATTATTCAACAAACCAAACATGCACTTCAACACTCAACACCTATTCTATTTCATTATAATCAACTTATTATCTATATTAATACATCTTGTAATCTCAATATTCCATTACTACTAGCTAAATATAATCTGTTAACAAACTGGTTAGGCTTAGCCAAAAAATGAATAGAAAACATTATACCATACTTGTAATATAGAAAATATCAAAGAGATTAAACAACAAATTGATAACATTACTAAAAGATGTAATAAATTACAAACAAATCTTACCTCAATGATCAATAGTATTCTTAACTGACACAAAGATCCTGTCAAATTTGACAACATCAGAACAGACAATGATCTTATTACTGATGCACCTAATATTAAACTTCATATCCAACAACATTTTGATCAATGGACATCATACTGATATATTAACCAACAAATATATGAATCTAACTGGCAAAACGAATATAACTCCAAACTAGACATAAACTCTGAATGATATAACAATATTCTTTTTGAATTTAATACTGATAAAGTTAATTCAACATTAGCTCAACTTCCAAACAATAAAGCTTGTGGCCATTTAGGCATTAGCTATGAAATGCTCAAACATGCAGGCTTATCATTTCTTTAAGCAATTACTACTTTTTTTAATAGATGTATCTCTACAAACCATATACCAAAACAATAGAAAGAAGGTAGAATCTTTTCAATCTTCAAAAAACCAATTTTTGATAGTAATCTCACCAACATAAGACCTATTTGTCTTCTTGAGCATACTAAAAAATTATATACCAAATTGCTTACAAACCGCCTAAACAATATCTTTACAAATTTAAAATACTTTTACTCTACAACTATATTGCCTTTTCAGGCAATAGCACTGCCATCTCTATTCATATACTTAACAATATCATCGAAGATGCATGTTGCAATTCTAAGAAACTTTGGCTTATATCCCAGTACATGTGCAAAGCTTATGATTTCGTTAACTTAAATCTATTTAAAAAAGCTCTTAATCATATCAATATGCCATCTAAACTGATTAATCTACTTATTAATCTACTTACAGACTGTCAAAACAGAGTAATTACAAACTTTGGCCTTACTAATTTTTATTCAGTTAAA